CACGGCCTGAGTTAGCAGGTGGACGACTATAGGTAATAAACGAGAATCGTAAGTACACAACCGATGCCAAACGTTATTTTCTTTTGAGCAAATGTTACTGTATATCCATTGTAATTGATAGGATTTCTCTTGTTACACAAACCAGTACTGCCTGCCTAGTGCTAGTGACATTGCATATACATATGCCACACGGCCACTGCGCAAATGCTCAGCCACACACGCACATGCGCACACACACGCACGCACACACACGCGCACACACACATGCACGCCACGCGCACACCCACATGCACGCACGCGCCACACACACCACGCACGCACGCACGCACGCACGCACGCCACGCACGCACGCACGCACGCACGCACGCAACACACACACCCACACACACACACACACACACACACACATCCGCGCACACTTGAGCGCATGCTTAATACTTAATACGCTGTTGATATCATTGTTGGACAAATCGTTTCAGATTTCATTGGTATTATCCTCTTCTCGGTCGCAGTAATCCTATTTGGCACGACAGCACGCTGACTATGACGCGTGCACGAAACCTAACGCCAACACTCTAACCTACGCTGGCCGCACGGCAGGGGCAATTCAAACTCACCCTATCCTGCACCTATTTATCATAATCATTACAAAAACGACCTTATTCTACAACGCTAGACTAATCATTAGCACCACATCAGGTGACCACCCGGACGAGAGTACTCTGTCGCGTTCGACAGGGGGCGCCACTGTCTCTCGTCGACTCTCAAACACATTACATTAATGATAATTGCACGTTTCCGCATGACGTCAGTTGCTACTGACCCGTACCCTTAAGGAAATCAATCGCTATCACGAACACACGTATACTGAGAGACACATAAGGACGGCTCGAGGCAACATGACATTAAATAGTCCAGTCCCTCTAGATGGGCACACAGTCCTTCTAGATGGGCACACAGTCCTTCCAGATAGACACACAGTCCTTCCAGATAGGCACACAGTCCTTCCAGATGGGCACACAGTCCTTCCAGATAGACACACAGTCCTTCCAGATAGGCACACAGTCCTTCCAGATGGGCACACA